GCTGCCATGCACCTCACTCTCTTTATAGCCCCCTGCAGTCTATGCTATTATTTTCATGTGACAGATGAGGACACCGAGGCACAGAGAGACTGGCAGCTTTGCCAAGGGCAGCAGGAGGGGGGCTGGAGTATTTTGGACTCCACTCTGCTCTCTCCTGCACTTGTACTAGATCTGTCTCTACAGCCACCTCCCTGGCTATTTCAGACCAATGTGATGACAAGGGTCACTAAATAAAAAAGAAAACAAACAAACAAAAACGCCTGCACCTGTCCCATGCTGTCTGTGCTTTCTCTTCTGGTTGGGTTCATAGCTCTCTGCTGCCCTCCCATGGCCGTTGGTTTTCATAGGTGGGGACGGGTGCTGACCTCATTCACAGCAGTAGACATTCTTCCAGGCTCAGACTATGGGGCGCAATGTGATCAGAACAGATCCAAGCCCCACAGTAGTTATTGTTGGAAATAGATGCTCGGTGCCACAAAGAATAATTAGCACTGAGACGAAAGATCTTTTAACAACACACTTTTTACTTCCTGGACTGAAGGAAGGTACTCTCACTAGCCATTGTGCCATGAGAGTACAACGAATAAAGGAAAACACACAAATTTATACCTTACGCATTTGGGGTCTTCCTTACTGCTGTGTCTGATCTCCGTTAGCTGGAGCCAGACCTCACAATTTAAACTAAAACCCGAGTGGCTAACAACTTCAAACTTTTCTAAACAGGTAAAAGGAATGGAGAGCGGGGACATGCCTGTGAGCACATCTAGCACAGATATCTTGGTTAAAGTACAAGGACATAGAATGTACTACAAACTATAAGCATGGCATGTTTAACAGCTACATAAGATAGGACTTAACAAAGTTATTAGCATACTTATTATTTAACAAGAAAGGAAGCTTTAAAAAGGGCTTTTTCTACTTCCCACAGTTATGGAGATGCCAGCTTAGCTTTCATGCATGACGCAAACACATAAACAGTCTTTCCAAACGGAGGTGTAGAGCACTTTAAAATATAAAATTCATATTGTATTTTTATTTGTGCTAGAGATGAGATTTTGCCATGTTGCCCAGTCTGGTCTCAAACTCCTGGGCTCAAGTGATCCTCTTGCCTTGGCTTCCCAAAGTGCTGAGATTACAGACATGAGACACCCTGCCCAGCTGATATCGAACATTTTAAAATTTGTAGAGATAGGTTCTCTCTGAGTTGCCCTGGCTGGAGTGCAGTGACACTGCTATGTCAGACTTCTGGGCGCAAGTGATCCTCCCGCCTCTGCCTCCCCGTCATCAACTGGGATTATAGGAATAATCCACCATGCCTGGCTTCAAGCAATTTTTCATATTCACACACACACACAAAATGTTGACCTAACTGATTGCAGTGAAGATGTTACACATGTATATCCCAAAATCACCCAATAAGATGAATGGACAACTTGATGGGAAAGGATTTGATAAGGTAGTTGGCAAAAACAGCAACAACAACTGGTCTTGTGCATTTTAAACCGTTAATTATAAAGAATGTCAAGCATACACAAAAGTGAAGCAAGTAACAAAATCTCCCACATCCCCTGGCAAAATTCTTGTTTTTTCTACTCTCCTGTGTTCTCACATGTAGTTTCTTTTTATTTTTCTTTTATTTATTTGTTTGTTTATTTATTTTTGAGACAGGTTCCTGCTCTGTGGCCCAGGCTGGAGTGCGGTGGCACGATCACAGGTCACTGCAGCCTCAACCTCCTAAACTCAAGCAATCCTCCCACCTCAGCCTCCCATGGAACTCAGCCTCACAAGTAACCACGCTAGGCTGATTTTTGTATTTTTTGTAGAGATGGGGTTTTGCCATGTTGCCCAGCCTGGTCTGAAACTGCTGAGTTCAAGCAATCCACCCACCTTGACCTCCTAAAGTGGTGGGATTACAGATGTGTGCCACACCTTGTCCACTCTCACACATATTTTCTATATATATATTATTTCCTTACAAATTTCTAACAATTGAAAATCCGTAAGTTTGCATTGCTCACAACTGCAAGTCTTGATTATAAGGAGTACTGGTTAGTGAACTGAATTGTGTGCCTGAACATAAGAGGACTCTGTGGAACCTTTTTGTGATCTAGAATTTACCATAGTTCTGGGTGCTAGCAGGTGTTCAGTAGATATTTTTCAACGGAATACCTGGCCCTTGCACAGGAAATGAATTAAGGGCAGCAAGTCTATGCCAATGAAATGCAATTAAAATGAAATAGGAGTTCCCCCATCATGGGACTGGATAAGGCAAAGTCTGGTAAAAACTTTTCCTTGGGTGATTGTGGTTCAAAATCCTGCATCATGGAACAGGGCTAGATTAAGTTTGCTCTAAATTTTTAAATTTTCTTCCAGTCTAGAGGTTCAGTGGTTGTAGATAAATGATTCTGGTTGAAACACTCAAGATACTTATAGGTTGAGGGGTACAAAATCCTGGAGAAATCTGAGTGGGCATGAGTTTAAACAGGGATACTCCCTGGAAGAGGAGAATTTGGGACAAAATATATGCAAAGGGCAGGTACAGAGCTCAGAAGGATGGATACAAGTCCTGCAAACAGTTCAAATGGAAATTCTGAAAATAAGTTTTCAAATAGCAGATGAAAGTTGTACAAAGCAAAACATATAATGAGAATGAGGAGAACACACAGAAAGATATTTAATATATAGAGCTTAAATTAATTTGGCAGGTTGGGCATTACTTAAGTGATATCAGCAAGTGGTCATGAAATACACTAAGATGCATCTTCACAATGGAAAACCTTGCAGCCCATGACTAAGGAAAGTTTCTTCTATTTTGACCAATCCTTGGAGACTCCTTCTCTGGCAATTAAACCTGCAAGGAAAGGGAGCTTCCTGTGAAGTTGTTTGCTCATCTCAGCTGCACCAACAAGCCAGTATCTTTCATGGGGAGGCGAAGAGGAAAAATGGGCAATGAGGGCAGGGACTTACCGATTTGAGCCCTAGTTTCCTCTCCTGTAAAATAAGCATAATATTTTCACCACATAATGTTTTCTGTGAGAATTAAGCTGAGCAGACAATCTAAAATCATCCCCCGCAGTAGGCCCTGGGTGCCACCTCCCTCCACCTCTCCAAAGCCTGAAGCCCAACAAACACCTCCCTGGGGTTTAATCTAATCTTCAGACCCAGTTCTGGCCTCTTTTCTCTCTGCTTTCAATGGAGATGATTTTTTTTCCCTGAAAAGAGAATTCTACTGCAAATATGTGCAAAGGACAGGTACAGAGCTCAGAAGGATGGATACAAGTACTGCAAATAGTTCAAACGGAAATACTGAAAATAACTTTTCAAATAGCAAATGAAATTCTGTCATCATGCTCCAGTCTTCATTCCCAAAGGGGAAGCAGTTCAGCCAGTTTTCTCCTTACAGAAGCTGAGCTGACACAGAGCTGCACACACTGGTGGGGCATGGCGAGGAGAGAGCAGGCTCGGGGGATTTCCCATGTGCCAGATACTGAATACACAAACAAGCACATCTCTACTCTGTCTCTCATCAGCTCAAGCAGGACTTGCATGCTTTGAATATGTCTTTATGAAGTTTCTGGTTACACATTGTGAGGAGTGGACACTCTCCAAAGGCTATTTTCTGCCATCTATAAGTTGTTCATCTAAAACCCTAGTGTTGGGCTATAACTGATGTGAGACACCATATAAACATCAGACAGGTGGAGCTCTATATGTAGATCATAGAATGATGTCTCCCACAGAGTAAGCACTGAATAAAACGTTAGCAAGGAGAGTTAGGATGCTCAGTGTGACATCCTCTTCTAGTAGAAGTAATTCCAATTTTAAATAATTGGTGACAGCAATCCCAATGCCTTATTTCTGCACAGTGCTGGTTTACTATGTCCTATATTTATTTTAATGTATAATACAAAATAATTAGTGCACAAAATATTAGGGGAAGGGAATTGTTTTTTCATCAGATAAAAAGTACTGATGTTGGCTAGGCATGGTGGCTCATGTAATTTCAGCACTCAGAGGCTGAGATGAGCAGATTGCTTGAGTCCAAGAGTTTGAGATCAGCCTGGGCAAAACACTATCTCTACAACACGCTGAATCCCTGACTAAAAAAAATCAGGCAGGCATGGGGGCATTCGCCTGTAAACCCAGCTACTCAGGAGGTTGAGGTTGGAGAATCACCTGAGCACAGGAAATCAAGGCTGCAGTGACCCAAGATTGTGCCACTGCACTCCAGCCTGGGTGACAGAGTAAGACCCTGGAGAGAAAAATAAAAGAAAAAAGAAAGGAAAGGAAAGGAAAGGAAAGGAAAGGAAAGGAAAGGAAAGGAAGAAAAAAAGAAGGAAAGAAAGAAAGAGAGAGAAAGAAAGAAAAGGAAAGAAAGAGAGAAGAAAGAAAGAAAGAAAGGAAGGAAGGAAGGAAGGAAGGAAGAGAAACTGATATGGGATGGGTGCTGTGTCTCACTTTGTAATCCCAGCACTTTGAGAGGCTAAGGTAGGCAGATCATGAGGTCAGGAGTTCAAGACCAGCCTGGCCAACATGATGAAACCCTGTCTCTACTAAAAATACAAAAATTAGCTGGGCATGGTGACACATGCCTGTAATCTCAGCTACTCAGGAGGCTGAGGCAGAGAATTGCTTGAAATAGCACCAGCGAGGCAGAGGTTGCAGTGAGCCGAGATTGCACCACTGCACTCCAGCCTAGGCTACAGAGGGAGACTCCATCAAAGAAGAAAGAAGGAAAGAAAGAAAGAGAGAGAGAGAAAGAAAGAAAGAGAGAGAGAATGAAAGAAAGAAAGAGGAAGGAAGGAAGGAAGGAAGGAAGGAAGGAAGGAAGGAAGAGAGAGAAAGAATGGATGTAGTGTTTAAAAAGACTTTCCAAGTCTGCAGATGATTCCTCACAATCATCATTATTAATGAGGACACCAAGACTGAAAATGAGATAATTATTAACGTGACATCCCAGACCCAAGCGATGGCAGATCCAGGCACTGGATGCCCTGGGTTCAGTGCTGGCTGCCAATCCTGCAGCGGTCCAGCCCCTTCCTTAGTGCCCCCATTACCTCCCAGTTCCTCAAGCTGTAAATGAGGCTGTTGAGCATGGGAGTGAGGACTGTATAGAAGACAGAAGCCACCTTGTCATGGCTGGGAGCCCGATAGTGCCTAGGCCTCAGGTAGATGAACATGACTGCTCCATAGAAGAGGATGACAGCTGTCAGATGGGAGGAGCAGGGGGCCAGAGCCTTTTTCCAGGCCTGAGAAGAGTGCATTTGCAGCACAGTCCCTAGAATGCAAGCATAGGAGGCCGCGATTGATGACGGAGAATGGGGAGAGAAGCATGAAGACACAGCAAGCAAATATCACCTTCTCAAACAGGGATGTGTCTACACAGACCAGCTTCAACAGGGATAGCATTTCACAGAAGAAATGATTCACTTCCCTCAAGCCACAGTAGGGGAAGTTCATTACTACCACCATCTGGATCAAGCCATCTGTTATCCCAAAGGCACAGGAGCTCCCAGTAATTTGGAGACAGACCCTCTGATTCATGAGGATGGGATAGTGAAGTGGGTGGCTAATGGCCACATAGCGGTCATAAGCCATGAGTCCTAGTAAGAGCCCCTCGGATCCTACAAGACAGACAAAGAGGCCAATTTGTATGCCACAGCCCACAAAGGAGATGGACTTCCTACCAGACAGGAAGTTGGCCGCCATCTTTGGCACATTGGTACAGACCAACATGAGTTCCATGAGGGAGAGCTGGCTGAGGAAGAAGTACATGGGGGTGTGAAGTTGAGGATCCATGTAGATGAGGAAGATGAGGGGGATATTCCCACAGAGGGCCACTGTGAAGACCACCATAACCACAGAGAAGAGGACAAGGTCAGCAGTACTGTGGGAGAAGATGCCCAAGAGGATGAAGTCATTTGTGGATGACTGTTTCGCCCATGTCTCCATGGCTCAGTTGTTATTCCTGGCCACCCGAGAATATGGACAAAATGTATTACATTGCCTGACATTTCTTTATAGACCTCTGCATGCTATGTCTTTAGTCAGCTATTTTGTGTGTAACTTATTAGATCTCAACAACTGAAGCTTTGGGTCATAATAGGAGACACTCCTTCATGTCTCCCTAACACAACAATCGGAGCCCTCCTGGCTCCTAGAATTGGACTGCATATATGTGCTGTATGTATGTTCATCAAGAAGGGTAGAACTGAGCTGTTTCATGTGTCATAGACCTTTGGACAACCCTCTTCATCAGGCAAAGTCTTGGCTGTGCTGTATGAAACCAAATCTTTTATCTGAGATCACATGTACTTGGGAAACTATGTTTAACGAAGCTGAAAGCATTTCATTCCCAGAAGATATTCATGTGTTCTATAGAAAGGAAGGGAAGAAAGCAGGTGTTGCTCTTCAGTCTGCAGTCTGTATGCTCTGAGAGTTTTCTTAGGCTAACTACTCTGTTACGTTCATAATATAGGAAAAGAATGTTCTCCTGTTGTGCCCTACATGAGAAAGGAAGAGTTGTGATGGATGCTGTCATTGTCAGTCATATTGAGAGTGACAGGAAGTCACAGGGCCAGTGAGGAGAAGCAATGACTTGGTACCCAAGACTCATAAGAACAGTGAGGTTTTAGTTATGCTGGGACTTATAAAATAATCCCACAGTCAGAGCTGCAGTAGAAGTGGCTAAAAAAGCAGTATAGGTAATATGTGCTTCCTAAGTTACCTTTAGTAGAAATTGAAGTGCCTTCTTTATGAGATCCTTTTAACTGATATATTTCACTTGGATTTCTGAGTCATTTATTCACTGTTTTATCAAACAAATTTCCAATGAATTTATTTGGAGCCTGCTAATAAAGAGGGACTTACCTTGATATTTAGCCAAGAATTATTTTTTGTTTTTGTTTTTTTGAGACAGGGTTTCATACTGTCACCAGGCTGGAGTGCAGTGGAATGATCTTGGCTCACTGGAACCTCTGCCTCCTGGACTCAAGCCACCCACCCACCTGAGCCTCCCACAGGTGCCTGCCACCATGCCTAGGTTACTTTTTTTATCTATTTTTGTTAAATACGGGGTGTTGCCATACTGCCCAAGCTGGTCTCCAACACTTCAGCTGAGGTGATCTGCCTGCCTTGGCCTCCCAAAGTGCTGGGATTGCAGGTGTGAACCACGTCCTGCCAAACAATTTGTCCTAAACACCTTAGTATAGAGAGGCATCAGAGACATGATCTGATTTTACATGGACAAAGCCAAGTCAGGAAATAACATCATGCATATTAAATAAGACAAATGTTCCTTGACAGTAGAATATCTGAATCCAGGGCAAATAACAGAACAGATAATTACAAACAAGTGGAAAACATTGCCATATTCTGACCCACCCTGCAAAAATAAAGCCAAAGGAAATTCAGACCTCATCTGCAGGCCCTCCGTCACCACCCAGCCCTCCTTTTCTTCTGCTCTCCCCAGAGCTCTGTGGGCTCCTGTCTCCCTGGCTTCCCTGCAGTTTCCCTCACACAGCAGGACAAGGTCACCCCAAGGGCCTGGGGACTTGCTCTCACCTCCATGCAGAAGGCTCTTCCCAGGCTGGCCCTGCCTTGCTCCCTCACCTCCTCCTCACCTTCTCAGGAAGGCCTTCCCTCAGTACTCCATTTAGAGTTGAAATCCTTCCCCCTCCTTCTCCCTTCCCTGCCTTGGCTCACATAGCACACAAAGCCAGGAGGCGGGCTCCAGACTCTTCATGAAAACATTTTTTTTTCTGTTTTCCCAACTAGGACCCAAGTTCCCTGGTACTTCTGGTGCTCAGTGGGATCCCCGGCTCCTGGAACAGTGCCTGGCATCTATTGTGCTCTCAGTAACCATGTGATAAATGAATAATGATTTTGTTATGAAATACAACTGAATTTATTATTGCATGTCACCTGCTCATTTTCAGACTTTCCTGCTGGGTGTTTAGTTAATGGCTTCACTTTTCTTTTTAGAAACCACAACATGGAAGGAGCCACCATGTCTCTGCAATATTTCCCAGGGATGAAAGGACCCTGTCCCACATCAGCCCCCACCTGCCTGCTGCTTCACCTTTGCTCTCCCCATGCATCCATCTTTGTTTTTCTGCTGTGGGCCACTCTCCACCCCAGGGACCTACGGCCCAGTCTCCAACCCAGACAGAGAGAGAGGGACAGGAAAAGGTGAATAAGACACCAAAGAAAGGGAGAAAGAAGTGGGTCAAACGAAGAGGATGAGAAGAAAGAGTGAGGAGAGGCACCACACCAGAAGGCAGACGCCCCTCCAAAAACCTAAACAATTATACCCTGATGGAGGCAGGCAGTAGGAGGAAGAGTAAGTGCTGATGAACAAATGGGGACATGAACCAGGAGCAGAAGCTGCAGGGAGGAGTCAGGGGGCAACAGGACAAGACCCTCACTCACCTGTGGGTGGATCCCCTGCAGGGGAACAGACTCAGCAGGGACGCCTGTGGAGGAGTTCCTAGTGTCAGGACCAGGCACTCATCCTCCTGTGTTTGCTCCCACTGGGGTCAGGGGGACAGGAGGAGCCCCAGCCCCGACCTCCTTCCTCAGCCCTTGCTGACCCCTCGTCAGGCTATGGAGCCCACGGCACCCTCGGCCTCCAGTGGCCCCTCAGGCTCAGAGAGCATGACTCATAGAGACCACAGCCTCCTTTTAGAGGGAGAAACAGGCCCAGAAGGAGCTGGGCAGGAGAGGCAGAGCCAGCAGTGGTGCTCCAAGCCCACCCAGGATACCAACTTGCCTAGAGGACACCCTGGCTCAGGCCCAGGTGGCAGAACTACCTCCTGCTGCCCACACTGGTACTGAACACAGACATGGGGTGAAGAGGGGGAGCTGACTTCAGACCTCAGCTCCCAAGGGACCCCACAGGCTCCAGCCCGGAACAGGCACTCCCAAGATTACAATTAAAGAGACCCACAGAGGGGCCTGGGGACAGGAACAGCAGCAGGGCCGGTGGAGACAGTGTGAGGAAATCCAGTTAGAGGAGGAAGGATACAGGTGTGGAACCCGAATATCTGAGACAGGTGTCAGTTAATTTAGAAAGTTTATTTTGCCAAGATTGAGGACATGTGCCCATGACACAGCCTCAGGGGGTCCTGACAGCATGTGGCCAAGGTGGTCAGAGCACAGTTTGGTTTGACACATTTTAGAAGACATGAGACATCAATCAGCATATGTAAAATGAACACTGGCTTGGTCTGGAGAGGCAGGACAACTGGAAGCAAAGGTGGGACAACTCAAAGTGGGGAGGGGGGTTCCAGGTCATGAGTAAATAAGAGAAAAATGATTGCATTATTCCGAGATCCTGATTATGGAGGCAACCAGATATGCATTTATCTCACTGAGCAGAGGGGCGACTTTGAATAGAATGGGAGGCAGGTTTGCCCTAAGCAGTTCCCAGCTGGACTTTTCCCTTTAACTTGGTGATTTTAGCGCCCCAGGATTTATTTTCCTTTCATACAGGAATGCAGGGGATATTCTTGGTGTTCTATAGGACCCCCACATTCAGCGCCTCCCAGTGACCCCCAGTGCTGTCATGGGGTCTCCATCTCATACCTTGTGAGAGGGAAAGAACAGCACCACATTCAGAAGAGTTGGATGGAGGCATATGGGCCTTGGGTTATCCCAAACCCTGACAGATATTTCTGCAGGGTCAGTGCCTTCATGGGTTGCTGGGTAAAGGGCTGAGAGGTGCAGTTCTGATGCTGCTGCCTGTGCAGGCATGGGCAGCACTACCTTTCACTCTCAAGAGCGTCCAAGATGGATGCTACATTTCGTGGTCACTCTGTGCTGTGCTTTATGTCTCATGGAAACAGTTCTCTTTTCAAAATGGCAAATTCATTGGAAACCCAATGGTAGAGTCACCAACTTATCTGTTCCTTTCAACTCTTTGGTTTTGTTTGATTTTACTGGTTTCCTTTCATTTTCACAACAGTAATAAAGTGTGTTTCACCTGCCATACAAAGCTATTGGGGGCTTCAGCTGGAGGCAAAACTACAGAACTTCAGTCAGATCAGAGGGCTGAGGGGAGATGACGGATCATGCAGAGAGGGTCCAGTGTAGGGAGTGGATGCTGTGGACCTAGGAAAACAGGCCTCGGTCACGTTGGCTCCAGGGACAGCAAAGTGGGCTTTACAGAATCTCCCTAGAGCACCACACTCTGTCCCAGCCTCCCACGTGGCTATCCCTCCACAGCCAGCTGCTCTGCCCTGGGTCTGCACAGGGGCCTGGTGTTTCCCCTCCACACTTTTGATCAAGCTGTTCTCCCCTGGGAACTACTTTGCCTCCTGTCTTCTCCTATTGAAACTTAACCACTCTATAGAGAAACATCTAAAACTCCCTTTTACTCTTCTAACCTTCCAAAGACTCCATCCACAGCCCACTCCTTTGCTGTGAGTTCCTCCATGACAACATAGATGAGCCTGAAGGACTCTGTGCTTAGTGAAATAAGCCCGGCCCAGAAGGACAAATTCCACGCATCTCACTCATGTCTAGAATCTAAAACATACACATCAAGGCAGGGGATACAAAGGCAGATCAGAAGCTGGGGCTAGGAGGACTGAGGAGATTTTGGTCAAAGAGTATAAAGTTTTAGTTAGACAGGAGGAATAAATTTTTGAGATCCATTGCACAGCCTGGGGACTGTAGTTAATAATAATATATTGTATACTTTGAAATTGCTAAGAAAGTAAATTTCTAATGTTCTCAGCATTTGATGTGGATGTTGGCCTTAGTCCACCAAGACCCCAGTTCAGTTTGGTATGAATAATTTTAAAATATCCTCACAAAAGGAAGTCCAAGACCAAATGGCTTCAGTGATACAGTCTACCATAAATTGAGGGAGGAAACAACATCAATCTTCCAGGGATATTTTAATAAGGGAGTGAAGACTCTTCCCATTCATTCTATGAGGATAGATAACT